AGTCCAATTAGCCCTTACAAAACCTCTACAAGTTGGTACTTCCTCTGATATTACTGGATATACTAAGATTGGTTTTCTTAAGATATTAGACTGCTCCTCTTTTAACTTTTTTTATTTTACTATATTTTTTTATTTTTAAATTTAAATTTATATTAGAAACAAGGTTGCTTCACAAGTCAGTTCCCAGGTCCCTCTCTGTTTCCCTCCCCTCCTCCCATGCCCTCCCCCAACCCCCCCAATATCCCCTCATTTCCCCAGGGATGGTGAGGCCCTCCATGGGGGTGTCCATAGTTGGTCATTTCATCCAGGGCAGGGCCTAGACCCTCCCCCATGATTTCAGGGTGAGAGTGCATCTCACATTGTTAGATGGGAGTCCAAAATCCATGTGTATACTTGGGATAAATACTGATCTACTGCCCAAGGCTCAATAGATTACCTAGGCCTCCTCACTGACATCCCCATTCAGGGGGTCTTGATCAGTCCCATGCTGGATTCCCAGGCATCAGCCTGGGATTTAAGAGTTAACCCTTGTCAGGTCAGCTGTTTCTGGGGGTTAAACCCACTTTAACCTTTTAATGAACTGCTGTACTTGGTTCTCAATGAAATCCTCTGTCTAGATTTGATTATCATTATGTTATGCTTCAATTAATTTTTCTATGGCTTGTATATGGCACTCATATCAACTATCTTGTTATAATATAAACCAAGAAATATCAACCAACAACAAAGATTATAAAAATGATAACAATATGTATATTTTGGGTGGTTTCCTTTTTTTAAAATTTTCAATTTCTAACTCATGCATTGCATAATCATACAAAGACCTAAGTCTCTATGTGGGAGAGTGAGGGAGGGTAGAAGGAGGCTAGGGGTCATAGGAAGAGGCAAGTGAAGATAAGGAGGGAGAACGCTGGATGGAATGTAAAATGAAATCCAAAAATAAAATAAAAAATAGGAAAAAAATCAAGACCCTAAATCTAAGCATGCCAAGAAAAGGAGAGTGTACCTAGACCCCCATCCCCTTGCTCTATGTTTTCAGTGTTGATCATCCAACATTATGATCCATCTGAACATCTTAGCCTGAGCATACTGGGTTGCAATTCCTTACCAAGTTCTCAAACCTACTTCAGAGGACATTGGTCTGGCATGTTCTCGTTACATTGAAAATACTATTCACATAATGCATTGAACATCTACAGGAGAAAGATGTTCAGAGGGAAGAAAGGAAGAAAGAAGGAAGCAAGGAAGAAAGGAGTTGAATGACAGTGAGACTCCAGGGAGTTTTAATATAGACAGGGAGTCCTAGGGATTTTATTCACTGTTTATCCACCTGCAAAGCTACAGGATTCTCTTGAACTTGAACCTAGGACCCGACTGAGGAAGACACTGACTGAGAGGGCAACCCAATTGTACTTCCCCAGGCTCCCAGCTTCTGATTATTTCTTTCTGACTACCATGTCTGAGAAACACTCATTTATCACTTCATCCAGGAGATACATTGACAAGTGAACAATTGCCTGACTCCAAATTATAATTTAGAAACACACAAATGTCTTTCAACCTACACAGACACCACTGCCTCATCCCATTGTTCTCCATATCACACTTAGTGCCTGTGATCAAAACCTACTCCATACCACCTTTTTCCCAAAACATTGAACACCATGTAAAACCATGTGCTCCGTGTGCTATTGATATGAGACCTGTTCCTAGGATGTTAGGACCTCCACAGCTTTGAGACTGACTAGTTCACTGTGATGGGTAGAGAAAAAAACCAAAGACGTAGGTAGAAAAATGCTGGCATGAGTGGGCTGTGCACTCTGAAGGAGACAAACCAGAAACGCAGAAACATACAGTGAAGTGGTTGCAAGTCTGCACACCACAAGAGGACACAAGATCTCGTTATACATGCTTGTGAACCTCTAAGTGGTTGCTAGGAATAGAACTCAGGACCTTTGAAATCGTAACCAGTGCTCTTAAATTCTGAGTCATCTCTCCGGGTACAACTAAAGAAACCCTTTTTATTTTATATTTGGTGTTTTGAGACAAGGAGTCTCTGTATTGTTTGGATCCTCTCCTGGAACTCTCTCTGTTGTCCAGGCTGGCGTGAAACGCACAGAGATCTGCCTGCCTCTGCCTCCCGAGTGTTGGGATTAAAGGCATGTATCACCAACATCCGGGTCAGGGAAATTCCTATAAAGGTAAACATCTTATTGAGGTGGCTCTCTTTCAGTTCATAGGATCATTCCATTATCATCATGTCTGTACTTGGTAGCAGGCAAGCAGACATGGTGTTGGAGAAGTAGCTGGGAGTCCTACATGTGTCAGGAAATAAGAAGTAGACTATGACTCTGAGAGATGCATAAGCAAAGGAGACCCAAAGCCAGCCCCCACAGTGACACCCTTCCTCCAGCAAGGCCACACTTACTTCAACAAGGCCACACCACACAATAGTTCTACTCTGTATGAGCTTATGGGGGGCCAATTACATTCAAACTATTACCACCTGGTTCATGCCTTTCTGTGGATCCAACCAAGGCCTCCTGTGTATTAGCTAAACAGTCACCCTACTCAATCATATTCCCAGTCTTCTAACATAGATTCCAGTGTTCAGACCTCCTGCTCCCAATGTATATGAAAATGAGTTTGAAATGACCTGTGGAGTTTACGCTCACTCCTCTAGCTTTTGTGGAAACTGAGTTTTATTTGCTTTGATTTTGATTGTGATACTAGCTTTGACCAGGTAGCCCAGACCAAGGTTGAACTCTAGGTCTCCCTAGATCAGCATCCATTGTGTTGGTGCTCTCCTAACTATAACTGCACCAAGATATTCTGATGCATGTTCCCTCTAATCATTCACTGAATTCCAGTCCCACGGTGTAAGGGTTAAGTTTTCTCAGACTCCACCATGGTCATCCACATGGAGACCTAGATGCTCAATGGAGCTGATAGCATCAAATGTGCCATCATTAAGTGATGAATGTTAGGGATGTGGCATTCCAGGAGCACATGGTAACCCCGGCCATGAGCATGGACTGAGTACTACAGACATGTGGCCAGAGAATGCAGAGTGTTGGCTGGGAGATGTGTCATCTATCCTCAGGCTTAGATTGCAGAACCCTGGGGTGGCTCAAGGGAAGAGTGCAAAGACCTTACTGTGGCCCTCAGAATTTCCTGTGCACAAAGAAGCTGAGCCTTGAAAATTGTCCCGTGAGGCCAAGCAAGACGCCAAGTACATTTAATTCTAGCACAGGGAAGGCAGGGACACATGGATTCCTGTGAATTCATATCTGTCCTAGTAAACATAGAGAGTTCAAAAACGGCCTGAATTGTGTAATGAGGCCAGGTCTCTGATAGTGGGGTGGGGGACAGGGATGGAGACTGAGACAGAGACAGAGGATAGAGACAGAAATTAGAGAAAAATTAGAGGGGGGAGAGAAAGCATCCTCTGCAATACACATTGTTAAAATGGCACAGAAGGACCTACATAGAGACTCACATGCATTCATGATAAGAAACAAAAGAAACCAGGCGGTGGTGGCACATGCCTTTAATCCCAGCACTCGGGAGGCAAAGGCAGGCAGATCTCTGTGAGTTCCAGTCCAGGCTGGACTGACAGCCTACAAAAACAGTACAGAGAAACCCTGTCTCATAAAACCAAAAAAACAACAAACAAACACAAAAACATAAGAAAAGGCATGTACTGAAAAAATGGCTGTGCAGCTGTAGTGTATTCAGGAAGGTAAAATGGCAAAGAGCGGGGATCAATATAGTCCTTCATACATGGTAAATATGAGTTGGAACCACAGCCCTTAACCACAAACATAATCTTATGCCTTTATCCTCTGCTATGGAGATCACACAAGGGCATCATCAGTACACCTGCCATTAGCTTTTTCATACTTTGATATGTTAAGCCCAGTGGGTTTATCGGCCTCTAGGGGGCCTATATAATTAATTCTATGGACTTATTTTTATTTTTTACTTCTTTATTTTGCTTATTTTAGTTATGTATATTAGATGGCATATTTGCAGTATTGGGTGGAGATGACTGCAAGAGCTCCCAGACTACAGATATAAATGTCATATAGCCTGGAACAGTTCAAAATTTTTCTGCCTGCTGGCATCAAACACTTGTCCCCAGAAGGAGAAGTAAGCAACCTTGCCTTCTGAGCCAACTCTCCAAGAGATTCTCTCTAGTTTTCTGGCTGGGGTTACATGAACTTGAGATATAGAAACTTTCTAAGACCATGGCATGTTGAGTCATTATTTTCTCTGAAAGCTCTAGGACACAGAAGGCATAGAGACAAGTGGACTATGCAAACACAGTAAGTATAATGAAGGAGTATGGGATTGTCAATGAAATGACTCAATGAATTCAAAGGATGCAACACACTCTCTCATGAAAAAGCATTTTATTGAACTTCCTGGAAAGTATAATGTAAAGGATGGTGGGGGAAATGACATCCAGCTTACCAGCTTTCATCCCTCTCGAAAGCAGAGGAAGAGAGATCAAGCTGAAAAGTGAGGATACTATATGATCAATACCAGTTCATCTTGAGTCACCGTTATTGTTCAAAAAAGAAACATATGTGCATATATTACAAATATTTATGTAAGGTGGACAAGGAAAAGTTGAAGGCCAAACAAAGACAGAGACATGGAGCACAACTCATCCAGTTCATTGGGCTCTTTGTAGTATCCTGTCTTTCTCCCCTTCCCTGTGTCTATGGTCTTTCATTCCCTGATTGTGCTGGAATGCAATCCCTACCATTCTCAAATCTCTTTTTCTGTCCAAGATTGGGTCTTCACTGTTGGCCCTCAGCAGATAAAGGGCCACAGATTCTCCAGGTCAATACTTCTCTTTCTCATCTGAATCAATGAAAAGTATTGTTTCCAAATGAATCTGAAACCCCTTGAATAGGCCTGATCTGTGTCTCTATTGAGTCACTTGAGTCCTGACTTTCATTTTTCAGAGCACAGCAGTGATATCTCATCATTTATTCCCAACATGTACAGAGCAAGGCCTCCAGGTCATAGACACAGAATGTCTGGCAGTGTCGACATCTCTTACTCACAATATAGATTTCTTTCGGCTCTCTTATACCTCTGAGAGTTTCCAAGAGTTCAGAACAGTGCTGGACAAATCTGCCTGGAATGACATCACCAATGGCATTATAGACTTCAGTAGGGGCAGGGTACATCTCTAGGGCCAGGTTTTTAAGGTTAGCAGTGTGCTGCAGGAGCTTCTGAAGACTGGACACAGACAGGAAGTTCTTCACAAAATTCACCTCAACCAACTGGGAACACTGACTCAGTGCTGGGAGGAGGTCATCAATTTGGAAGTTCATGAGCTTACAGTCCTTCAATTTTAATGTCTGCAGTGTAGCTGTCAGTCTCTCTAACAGTCTTCCTAGGAGTGGATGAGAATAATTTAAAAAAGTGACACCACTCAGGTCCAGATATGTGAGTTGACAGACGCTTGGACACTGTGACAGATACCTCATGTCTGATTCAGATAGCATGCACCGAGTGATTGCAAGATTCTCTAAGGGACTCTCCAAGTACCTACAGAAAGACAAAGGTGTTTACCTCAGTATGTCTAATAGTGGTAGAGAAAGGGAAAAGACTTCAATGCAGTAGAGGCTAATTAGTCCTAAGTTCAACGATGGCATCATGAAACCTAAACCTAAGATGCTCCCTGATGGAGAATTACCAATATATACACCATTATTGTGACTGTCTCCGTCCCCAAATCTGTTCCTTCTGTACTGTCAAACACAAAACCTCATCAGATGACAAATTGTATCATCACTGGAGCAAGAAGGACCACCTCGATGAACTTAGTGACAACCCTGTGTGTGCCAACACTGGTCTCAATGACCCCACCATCCTAGCACAGCCTCTGTGTTGCTTGCAGGGCTTTCCTGGGGACCTCATCACTCTCAGTCATTTTCCATTGACTCAGGCCCTACCTGTGCTCAAAGAGCACCTACCCCTTGGAGAATCATTGACAAATGCAAACTGTGGATCAGTGCAGAGGACAGTGTTGACATAGGGCAACAAGGACTTGAAAACTGCACCCCTCCGAAGATCTGCTTTAGCCTCATCTGGGTCCCTAACAAACACCTATTCTAGATCATGGATACTAAAGGAACAGAAGGGCGACTAGATCAGTCATCCTCAGGTCATATGAGTGTATATTCAGGGGTGACTAGGAAGCCCCAGGTATGCACTAATATTTTATGTAACAATGAATATCTCCTCTCTGCCCTTCAGAGCTAGTTCTCCATTCTTCCTCACCTGAGCACTTGGTCCAGTCTATCATTCAGAAAGAAGACACCATTCAAATAGAGATGCTGGAGCTTGTTGAGTTGGGAGAACTGCGAAATGATCTCTCTAAAACTCCATTCTTTCATCTCTTGTTTCCTAAACCAATCCAAAGGTGTGAAGATTTTATTGACAAAGAGTTTCTGAAGGTTTCTCATCTGACCCAGGCCAGGAGCAAACATCGCAAGGGTTCTCAGGTCCCAGTGTGCATTCAATTCCAACTCCTGTATAGAACTTGGCTCAAATACCTCCAGCAGCTTGAGGGGCTTATAGACAGGGAGGGCCCCAAACTCCAGCTTTTCACAGATCACCTGCAGTGCATCTTTCCTCTGCTTAGCCCACCAGTGGAAATATTTTAGGGATTTACAGAGATCCCTGGAATTCAGGGAAAGGTCCATCATCACAGTCACAACCTGTTTTCCTCGTGGAATGGGATTACACACTGCTGGTTGACTCTCACTAACAACATCTGCAGAGCAGACAACATCCTCTTTTCCAGCCCAAACCTTCCAGAAGTTATGCTGGGTATCTCGAAGATCAAGTACTTCTAGTTTGCAACTCCTGTTGGTGAAAGAAGACAGTGAATGAAATGACAGAATTACCAATGTACACTTTGCCTAAACCTCACACATCGACTTCCCTTAAATCCATTCTTTAAACCAAGACTGTTTCCATTTCTAGTGGCTGGGGGCAGAATAGCAGAGGTACAGTTGCTCTATGTGTTTATGTCTATTAACACTGCACTCGAGCCACCACTGAACTTTTTTTTTACTTATTCACTTCTCTAAGAAAGCTCTGATTCAATTTGGATCACATTCTGAACTCTGTAGTAACCTCCCTACATCCACACACTTCCCCTCCATGCTAACATTTTCTCACTTACCTCAGTCCATCCTTCTCCTTAATCAGCAAATCAAGGCCACGCAACATAGCCTTCAAGATCTCAAGGTCAGGGGTCTTCATCAGGGCTCCCACAGGAAGGCATCTGAATGGCCAGGATGCCACCATGGCCCTCAGGATGTTTGTTTGTTTGCCATCGAAGGCCCCTTGGAATAGGGGTGGGAAGAGTTCCATGGGCAGGGCCTTCAGAGCAGATATAGCAATTGCTTCATCTTTCAGCAGACTTCTTATTGCCAGCAGTTTGAACGAGGATGGAGAGTTCATCCTGAACTTAATATACACAGGCACTATAGAAAGATCCAGAGAATAAACCCTTTCTGTTATTCTTCCAATCACAACCACTGTTCCCCTGAATCCTACTGAAATAGACAATGAGACATTGGAGAATCAAACGAGAGACAGACTCTTTTATTGGCAACCATCATCAGGTGTGTCTCATGACCTCAAGAGCAAAGTTAAAGGCCCCACAGCCAAGTGTGCGTGGTATTCAATCAATCAACAGAACTTCTTGAGAAATGGATAGAGTCACTACAATTTGTACTTTTAAGGTAGACTGGAGTTGTTGGTCAGTCCTTGCTCAATGTTCCTTTGAACTGAATACATCAATGTCAGCATTCTATTAAAGCACACAGCAGGTATGCTCCAAGTCTCAGAACTCATATCTATAAGCTACATATGGACTTCTAGGCTAGACTGGACCAGATGAAAATTTCAAATTCAAAGTAGATACAAAAAACAAAACAACAAAAAAATCAGGAATACTAAGATGACCTGGGAGACTGGTGATCCTGACTAAGGTTGTGTGATCTGATGGGGGTGAATGGTTCATCTGATCAGGACACACATAACAGGTGTTCAAATGCTAGCAGGTCTTTGTAGTCACTTTAGTATCCAACAAACAGTGCCTAGCATGCCCATGATAACCCTTATATCCCCCTTTCCAGTCACAACTTCCCTTCATAGCCCCACATCTCAGCCAGAACCTGTCATCTGATTGAATGACTTAGCATCTCCCAATCCAGTCCTACTTGCATTCTTACATCCAGGACTTGAGTGAATCAGATGTGGGAAAGTATGAAATCTCAATGGTAGTCAAGTGCCAAAAGCCTGTATAAAACTTCTCCACAAATTCACTGCCCTGGGATACACTCTCTTCCATACATTAATCCATTTGCAATTCTCATATAAAATCTATGGATGTAACTCAAGCATATCTGAACTCATTTTTCACCCTGAGCTCACCTGGAAGTCTCAGTACTCCTCCAGCCTGATTGTAGTTGTATGAATTGTGTGTGACACCATATTGTTTAGATCTCCCATCAGGAAAGAGAAAGAATTGAGTCTATGCTGACAGCACAAACCAATTCCCCAGCAAAAACCAATTCCCCAAGTGACCTCAAAACACTAAGTATTGCCGGGCGGTGGTGGCACACGCCTTTAATCCCAGCACTTGGGAGACAGAGGCAGGCAGATCTCTGTGAGTTTGAGGTGGGGCTGGACCGATAGCCTCAAAAAATAATACAGAAAAACCCTGTCTCATAAAAACCCAAAAAAACCCACTAAATATTGGTCTACTATTGTTAATTAATTAATTAATTTCATTGTTTGTATCTGCTTTCATTTTATGGAATCCTTGCCTACAAGAGTAGAATCTACATCTGGGAACCTTCCTATCTTTGTGGAAGAGCATCTAAACAGGGCATGTTCAGGTCGATTAGATCTACTTTTAGCAATGAGAAAGAACTGAGATCCTGGAGAGCATTCGGATGTCTTTTGCATTATTTTTTGAGACAACATTTCTCTGTTTCCTGGAACTTGCTCTGCAGATCATGTTCAAGTATACTCACAGTAATCTGTCTGCCTCTATCTCCTGAGTTCCTGCATTAATGGTATCTGTGGCAAGATACATAACAGACCCAAGACAAATATTTGGCTTCAAGCTTAAGCTGAAGATCAGAGAAGCAAAGCAGCCCAGCCACTACCGCTTACCTTTACCTCAGGCTAAAAGTGGGGATCCTGTCTTCAAGAGCTCTCACAATGTTTCAGACTGCTACCTCTCCCCTGTGTGGCTTAAGAATAATACTGAGACTGACTACTGCAGACCCTGCTTCTACCTTTTATGCCTCTCTAGTGTAGGGATTAAAGGTGTGAACTCTATTACTCTGTCCTGATTAAAGGTATGGCTGGTTTATAGCTACCTAGGATGGTTGCTTTGCTATTTTCATCTGGAGTCGTTTAATAAATTGTGAACAATATTCCACCACAGGTTTGTGCTACCAAGATCTGTCTAAATTATTATTTCTTTGCTTTTTTGTTGGTATTTCTTTTAAGATGGGTTTTTAAAATGTAGCTTTGGAGCCTATCCTGACTTTGAATTCTGTGAGATCCCCTGCCTTTCTCCCAAATGCTGGGATTAAAGGTGCGAATCTCCACCACCCAGCTAAATCAGCACTTAGGATGTACTTGTTTGCTGTACTGTGTACAGGCTGATCTTGTTGCCTCACTTGTGCTCCAGAACATAGTCAGCTTTGCCTAGATCTGGGAACTACCAATTCTGATGGGCCGGAACAGCCATTACTCTGGAGTATGATAAAGAAGGAACAATTCAATATCTGTGTGGAATTCAGAGTGAGCTCAAGGTTGGTGTCAGTGATATAGGAGAGTTTGTGTCCCTTGGGAAATCATTAAATGATCAGTGAGCCATGCATGGAGTTACTGGCCTGGGATGTACATAGGGCCGATCATATCTTTCCATATTCTAAAGACAATGCCCTGAGCCAGGTTTGAAGGCAAATGTCTGTAATCCCAAGTGCTGGGATTAAAGGCAAGAACCACCACAATGGACTTCCTTTGAGTATTTTTGAGACTTATCTATAATGGACAAGGCTGCTCTACAAATCCAGATCTTTCTGGTACTAAAGAGCCCCAATACCACCACCAACAGTCGGATAGTTGCTAAGCTCTCCCGTCCATGGTCGTGAGCAGCTGCACTTAAAGATATGCATCTTCCCCTGATGGTCCTCAAGAACTTCCAAATATTTCCCAGACCTCAAGTTTCCAGGCCGGTCACAAAGATCAGCCAGGGCACAGAGGTAGCCTTAGATAGATAACAAGCCAGTCAGCCACATGCGTACTTGTTTGCATGAAGGTATGACACCAATTACCAAGCCCCCCTTGTATCCCCACCGACCTGTTTGTGGTTTTAGGCATTAAAAACTTGCAGTATGCAAAAAGTCCGGCAAGCCCAGCTTCATTCTTCATAGGCATAAATCTTTTACTTAACCTCTGTATGTGGTGATGAGTATTGAACACAATACATGTGCTGTAATTGCTCAACCACTGAGATGCCTCCCAGCCTTTTCTATTTGCATTTTGAGATACGTTGAAATATAATGAAACATATTCCTGTACTACATCCAGCAGGCTTCACCCCAGCCCTTTCTTACTGTTTGGAACATATTCTGACAATTTCCAGACTAAACTGTACCTGGAAGGCTGACTTCTCAACCCCATTCTAGCCATCAACTTTTGACTTTCCTGCATCCACACTCATGTACCTCAATTCTGGACCTTGAGATACAGGACACTCTTGAGATGCCTCAGCAGGTCCATTCAGTGCCTGCATCCCCATGAAGATCTCACTTCAGTTTCTGCAAGGAGAACACTAAATCTGTCAGTTGATCTTCTCACCTCTGGGTTTGTGTCATGCATGTTCACATTCATGCAAAAACAGAAATAAAAAATGAAACATAATTTGTGCCTAATCAAGAGATAATTGACATTGAAGAGATGTAGAAATATCTCAATGGTTAAGAGCAAATTTTCTCCTTGCCTAAAACCCAGGTTCATTTCCATGATCCCATTCATCTCTTCCTTCAGTTCTAAGGAAAGCCTCTTTCTGGTGTTCAGAGTATTCAAGCACCATATTGTGCACAAAGGTTGCATACACACAGGCAAGGCTCACACACATGAAAAATGAAAAGGAAGAAAAAAGTCTTTAAGTAAAAAAACTTGATACAGGCAAGTTGGCACAAGTCTTTTTATTTTATTTTATTTTATTTTAAATAGCTTGTTTTACATGTCAATCCCAGTTCCCTCTCCCTCCCCTCCTCCTGCACCCCCCACCATCCCCCCCATCCTCCCACCCTATTGCCAATTCCTTCCGCATAGGGGATATCTAGAGTCTATCATTTCATTCAGGGTAGAGTCCAGGCACTTCCCTAAGAGTCCAGGCAGAGAGAGCAACCTTCTTTGTGTTATGGACACACGATGTCTGTTAGTATTCGAGGGATAAACACTGATCCACTGCTCAGGACCCCATAGGTAGGTAGCCCAGGCCTCCTCATTGATTCTCACATTCAGGGGATCAGGATCGGTCCCATGCTGGCCTCCCAGCTGTCGGTCTGGGGTCCAATAGCTCTCCCCTGTTCGGATCAGCTGTCTCTCCTGGTTTTTGCTAACTCATTCTTTGCCAATTTGCTCTTCGCTCCTCTCTCTCTGTCACTTGGTTCCTTGGGTTCTATTCAGTATTTAACTGTGGGTGTTTGACTCTGCTTCCAATGTCACTGGATGAAGGCTCCAGGATGGTTATAGACATCAAGTACACTATCAGGAATAGGCTTCTCGGCCTTTTGGCTAAGATCAAGTGTAGTATCCGTTAGTTTTTTTTTTCAGTTTAAATTTACATTAGAAACAAGGTTGCTTCACAAGTCAGTTCCAGGTCCCTCTCCCTTTCCCTCCCCTCCTCCCGTGCCCTTCCCCCAATACCCCCATTATCCCCTCATTTCCCCAGGGAGGGTGAGGCCCTCCATGGGGGTGTCCATAGTCTGTCATTTCATATAGGCCAGGGCCTAGACCCTTCCTCAAGAGTTCAGGGTGACACTGCACCTCACATTGTTGGATGGGAGTCCAAAGTCCATGTGTATACTCAGGAAGGGTACTGATCTGCTGCCCAAGGCTCAATAGATTACCTAGGCCTCCTCACTGACACTCACATTCAGGGGGTCTTGATCAGTCCCATGCTGGATTCCCAGGCTGATGCCTGGGATTCAAGAGTTAACCTTTGTCAGGTCAGCTGTTTCTGGGGGTTAAACCAGCCCAGTCTTAATCCCTTTGGTCATCAGTCCTCCCTCTCTGCTACTGGCTATCTTGAGTTCAGCTCAGTACTTAACCGAGGGAGTCTGCCTCTTCTTCGATCAGCCACTAAATGAAGTTTCTGTTTCCCAGACTCTCTGGCCATGGGATTGTAGGCTGGCACTGCCCAG